AAGCTAGGGAGGGGTTGGGTAATTCTGTTTAGGAGTTAAAGAATCCTGTAAGGAAAGAAAGGCTACTGCTTCTATTTATAGCTCTCTGATTTCTGTCTGTGCTGAGCCAATCACATTACTCTGTAATGAACTTGGAAAAAGAAACTAAAAGATGAAGCATGTCCATGGGAGGCTCAGCAGCTGGGAAGCTATGCAGAGCCCAGCTTGCGAAGCCCCAGGTGAGTAAACAGCCAGGGCAGGATGAGTAAGTAGAGGAAGCTGGTGGTGGAGAAAGCAGAGTGACAGACGCAGAGTATACCTGCTTCCTGCTGACTTTCCAGTTTCTGTTGTACTCTCGGGAGGCCTGACTATGCTGAGTTTCTAACTTGTGGGTGTCTAACAGCTTCCCCTTCTAGTTTCATAAAAAGAAAAAAAAAATCCTACCCTGCTTGAGAGAGCTTGGGGCTTCAGCTACTTAGGGAGTATGGTTCAACTTTAATGCCAAGTGGAGGGTACTGTGTCATTGGGGTGGGACGGAAGGTAGCCATAGAATTTATTATCCAAACCAAAAATTTTTGGTAGGAAAGACAGTGCTAGAGCAAGTACATGTAAGCCAGGCAGGATGGTCCTAGGCAAATGGGACATATGGTCATCCTTGAGGTGGGAAAAGTGGATTCAATATCAGGAGACCAAGTATGCATGCCAAACTCTCTCCCTCTTCACAGGCTTTAAATGTTTCTAAGTTTCCTTGAACCTCAGTTTCCCTGAAAGTAAAATAATACTTTAATAAAGTGATCTCTAAAGGGTTTTTTTTTCTGCTTAAGAAAAATCTTAGACTAAAAATCTAAGTCTTCTTAACTGTGAATTGAGGCAACTCAGAAGATGAGGTCAATATACAAGTAGGAGCACTTCGAGATTATGTAGTTAGCTGTGGGTGTAGCTTGGTAGTAGCTGGCTTGCCTAGCATGTGCAAAGCTCTGGGGTCAATCCCTAGCACTGCAGAGAACAAAATGAAAAAGATAGACAAAAAAGTCATTTATTTTGTACCTACAATATAGCAGGCACTGAGCTAGGTGTTAAAATAAGTAGTTGGGCTATCAAATTAAATACAGTATCAAATCCTGCCTTTCCAAGCTCCTCGGAGTCAAACAGCTTGCTGGGTTTCTGCAAAGCCCTGTCCTCAGGAGTCTGAAAGGCCTGACAAAGAAGTCTTTGTTAATGCTTTAATATTCCCCAAAAAGTGTGGGCTGAAGAAGTGCTACTATGCTTCTTTTGCAAAAGAAGATTGAAGCAGCAACTGTTTCAGGGCTTGTCCGATATAAAGCAGTTACCAGTGAGGTCAAGAACATCTGGGTTCTGGAACAGAGGCTCCTCTGAAATTGTCTTTTGCTCCCCCCTTCCCTTCTACCTCTCCCTAATCCATTGCCTTAATCTGGACGGTAAGGTGAAAGCCATTAGATCTTTCCTTAGAGTCACAGAACCCAGACGGCCTTGGGAACACCCTTCCTTAGTAACTTGCTGCAGAAAGTCAAAGCCACTGCCAAGTTCTGGAGAAGACACATGCCCTAACTGAAGAAGACCCTGCCCAACCTGCCGCCTCGATGTACCACCTTTCCCTTCCAGAAAGGCCCTTTGCACCCCTGAGTCCTGCAAGATAGGGGTTTGGAGGAGTTAGCCAGCCCCTCTATTTTCTTTGGGGCTGACTTTCAATAAATCTGATTTCTTCCTCCCAGCTCTTGTGTCCTGAATTTGGTCACTTTGAGCAGTGGAGCAGCCTGGGCATTTGATTCCAATAACATTTCCTTCCACTGTACTCCCTGGCCAAAGTAAAAGTCCTCCTTCAGTCGCTTCTGGTCACTGCAGAACTCAAGGGCAGTGATCAATTGAGACAAATTCTTCTTGCAGCAATTATTTTACTAAATTTCCCACAGTTAGCCAAACCTACATATTTGAATTTCATCCCTTTTCTATCTCCTGTTTTTGATGTAGACAAGTTAGGGCATGGGGTATCTTCAAATGAAAAGTAAGACCTGGCAGTATCAGAGTGGACCATATTCCAGATGTATTGAAGTCAAGTTTGAAGGAACTGTTCCATAGTAACAGTGATGGAAATAATGACTATTGCTTCCTAATTAGTCACCCTTCAGTCACCCATTCCTTGCCTGACACTGCAAAGTGCTCTCCACTTAGCCCCATAGAAGTACACACATAGATGCAGATCCAGGTTTTGTGAGTTCTGAAGCTTATACAATTCCCCTTCCTTGGGGAAAAAAAGTTTGGATCCAGAATTAGGTACAGAGATTTAGAAGGGCCTGAGCAAGTGAGACAGTCAAAGTTTAAGCTTTGTGAGCTTCATGGTAAATGCACCACTGTGCTTAAGATGGCTAACATCTCTCTCCCGAACTTTTACAAGTAATGGAATTGGAGCTCAGAGAAGTTAAGTAATTTGTCCAAAGTCAAAGTTTGAATAAAATGGCAAGTTAAAGATCTAAACATAGGGAAGCCAAGAGCAGTGGTACATGCTTGTAATCCCTGCTACTTGGGAGACATAAGCAGGCATGACTTCAAATAAAAATAAAATTGTTATCATTTATTATACATTGGGTATATCCCAAGAAAATCATACCCATGCATTCTGCCCATTTTCTTGACTAATTCTTATAACCTTTCTGTCTACATTGAATATTATTATTATTCCTGCTTACAGATAGGGGAACAGGAATCAAGGAAGATTAAGCAAGTAGTACATGGTCAACCAGTTGGCACATAGAGGAGCCAGTATTCATTTTGTAGTGTTTTCACCTGCAAAGTCCTGACTCACTGTCCCTTGCTAATTACCACCCTTCAGCTTACCCAGCAAAGAGCAGAACAGCAATGAGTGGCATCTAGTGAACTTTCAATATTACCACATCTATCCATTGAAAGAAGCCCTGTCCTTTCATATCTTATACCACACTGGATAGTACTCCTGAGCTGGGCAGTTCTGAAAGTCCCCTGTGCTGTGGCTTATCAGTCAGACAGAGACCATTCTTTGTGGAGAAAGGCATTTAGAAAGACCGATACAAAAAAGAATAAAGAAACAAAGAAAGAAAGACTAACACAAGCTCAGGCCCTACCAAGCTGCCCCTCCTCTAAGAAATGGAGACCCCAGAGACTCTGAGAGTGGCTAGAGTTGAGGCACTGGAAGATCCCCCATCCTGGAGGGCTCCCCTGAAACAGCCTTTTAAAGCCACACAAAACAAGTTGTACACAGACAATTCACACGTGCCTAACTCTAGTCACTTAAAGCAAGAGTTTTTGCATCCTCAAAATAGGTCTAGCCGTGGATTGGGATGTGGAGAGTGGAGAAAGGATTGAATTTATTTTTTCCTTGAATACAGTGCTCAGGCAAACAATGGTCTTTGAGAAGCTCAGACAGTGGGCCTTCCCTTCCCTTGGCAGTGTGAATTTCTTAAAAATTAAATGATGCTTTGCCATAGCACTTTAATTTTTTCCTTTAAATTGCCAGATTCCAAGTAATTGATTACTTCTGGGAATGCGTGTTGAGGAAATGTATCTGTTGCCACCTGGAATAAGACACTTTACTAGCAGGAGTGCAGTGACTAAGGGATGAGGCCTGGGCTTTGGTATCTGTTTGACAGCAGGTGCAGATCAGTGTGTTTGTGGAGGGGAGGATCATTAAGCATGAAGTTATTGGTGCTAACAAGAAAGAGTGGCCCAAGCCAGTTGCAGTGGCTCACATCTGCAATCCCATTGGACTGGAGGTGTGACCCAAGCAGTAGAATACCTGCTTTATGAACACAAAGCCCTGGGCTCAAACTCCAGTTCTACTAAAAAAAAAGGAAGAAGGAAGGAAGGAAGGAAGGAAGGAAGAGAAAGAAAGAAAGGCAGTCCTGTAATCCCAGCTACTTGGATGGTGGAGATTGGGAAGATCATGGTTCTGGACCAGACTGGGCAAAAAGTAAGCAACACCCCATCTCAACCAATAAGCTACACAAGGTGGCAAATGCCTTTCATTCCAGTAACTTACTCAGGAGATGTAAATAGGATTGGGGTTCAGGCCCTCTGGGCAAATAAAAACCCCACCAGACCCTCTCTGAAAAAGAACTAAAGTAAAAGTGCTATAGGGGCGTGGCTCAAGTGGTAGAGGCTTCAACAGGCACAAGAGCCCTGAGTTCAAAACCCAAAGTGCCAGAAAAAAAAAAAAAAAAAGATCCTGTAACTCTCTCCTGTTCCTCTTTCCATACCGCTTGGTGGATGTGGGTGAAAGGGAAGAAGAAAGAAATGACCAGGAAGTCAAAGAATGGAGAAGCCTTACAAGCCTAGCTCTGAGCCCATTCATCCACGGGAGAGACAGGTCCAGATTCTTCAGGGATCTAAGAGCATCTGTGTCTGAAAGGGGTGACTGTCTGAGAAGAGCAAGAAGGATGCTGAGATCGGGTAACACAGGCTGTCGCTGCAGGATACAAAGCCGCAAAGACCGCACTACGCAAGCACTGCGATGGCTGAAATGTCGCTCTGTCCAAAGGTCTGGCCTGCTTGTCCAGGTTCCTGCCCAGCCCAGGACAGCAAGAACACAATAGATCGCACGCCCACTCCTTATCCCCAGCCCCACACCGCTTCAAAGCCGTGGCAGGCAGCCAATGTAACCAACCTCTTCTGCGGTGCTTTTCATTTAATTTCCTCAAGAAGCGGGAGGGAAACGGTAGGGGCCCAACAGAGATTGGGTGTGTGGAGGGGGTGGGGAGAAATGCAGACGACAGAACGTAAGCGAAAGCTTTTTCAAAGTCACAATCCATAGTCTTACTTATCTTTATAAAGGACCACAGGCCTCTCCAGGCCTCCCCATTCTTCAACCCTCACCTCCAAGCCCAGAAAAACAAGGAGGGACGAAAGGGGACCCAGTATGGAGGCTTGAACCCCCGATGCAAGGTCTTTCCTGCTCAAGTTCCACGGTTGAGAGGGTGACCTGGAAACGCACTCGTACACACGCACACGCACACGCAATCTGCCCCGCTCACCTTCTCGATCGTCTGGTCCATGGCCTTCTGGAAGACCCGAGCCACAAGCAGCGTGACGCTGGTCACCAGCAGGAGCAGGGACAGTGTCCCCGCCGTGTAGAAGCAGCATCTGCCCATGCTGCGCTCGGCTCCTGGGCCGGGCCCGGCGGGATCTAACCGCGAAAGAGGGAGGCGCGGCGACCGCGGCCCCGCAGAAGCGGCGGGGTGACCCGGGACCCCCGGCGCCCGCGGCCTCCGGGTGCCCGGCTGGGGTGCGCGCGGCCCTGGCCCGGGCGGCGGGGACGAGCCGGCCTGCTTTCGCTTTCGGCGGCTGGAGGTGGAGGGAGCGCGCAAGGCTGTGACGCTCGCCGCCCGCCTGGCTGCAACCCTGGGAGGCGGCGGCCAGCGGCTGCGCGGGGAGGCGGGCGGGGCCGGGCGGAGGCCGCGGTCATGTGTCCCGCAGCGGAGCCCGGATTCGGCCCGCGCCGCACCGCAGGTCCTCGCAGGCCTCCGAGCGGTTGCGGCTGCGGCTGTGGCTGCCTGACCATGGCCGGGCCTGGCCGTCGTCCCCCCTGCTCGCCGCGGACTCCGCGGGCATCCCAGGGGCTGAATTCGTCTGCCCTTTGTTCGCTGTGCTCATAGGGTCTACCATCCATTGGATAAGCCCTGGATTTAGGACGGATGCGACATTTCCTCTGCTCCAGAGGCAAGATAGCCCGGACACTGTCAAGGGCCATTGTACCCCAACATAACCAGTGCTTTCACAAGTCCGCGCTGAGATCTGTGCCAGCGGCGCCTTCCGCCTGAATGAACCAGGATCCCACAGTTGAACTGGGTTTGGGGGTATATGTAAGAGCTCCTCACGAAAGGGAGGTGTGCAAGAAGGGGAGGAAGAGGCATTTCATGGCATGCACACAAGGCATTAAGAGTGAATGAGCACAACTGCAGGAGGCATAAAGGGAGTGCCTTCCTATTGTCTGTGGGCTCAGGTGTGCAAGGTGTGGGGCAGACGGTGTTGACTGGACGCCTCAGGTCAGACTTGAAGTGCCCTTCGTGTCTGTTGAAGGGAAGCAGCAAGGAGCTTAAAGCAGGTCGAACTGTCGTTTATCATCTGCTTTGCTTGCCAGTATGTCCCAGGCACCAGCAAGGACTCAGTCAATGTTAGTTTAATGAATGAGCATTAATTCTATGCCAGACCTTCACTAGCGCTTTATACATCCCCACTTATTTAACACAGCAACCCTAGCACTAGGTGGTTGTTTGTCCTGGGTAGAGCTGAGAAGGGACCAGGCAAGGGAGGAAGGTTGTTGGATAGAAGAAGGCTGTGGCACTGCAGTGTTGAGGAAGTTCAGCAAGGGAGGGAGGAAGTAGCTTGTCTGGAAAGTCTGGCATGTCGCAGAAATAGGCCTGCCTTAGTATCCCTGTTGTACTTGGTCATGGACTGGGAGCCTTGGGAAGCTGCCTTTGTACCAAAGGAGATAAATATCAGAAGATAGATTTCAGCAGCACTGGGCAGCTCAGTCTTTGTGTCAGCTGTCTGGGAGACCTGAGAAGTACATTCTCTTGGCTGAAGGCTGCCTACAGGTTCAATCAACCACAAATTGAGAATATTTAAAGAAAAGATACATTGTTGCTGATGTGTTATTATGTCGTTAGACCCAGGATGGGTGAATCTGTGCTGAATAGGTACAGATCTTTTTTTCTGGTCACTTCTCTAGACAGTACAGTCTAGCAACATTTCATACAGCATTAAGTATTAAGTATTATAAGGAACCTAGAGTTGATTTAAAGTATAAGGGAGGATACATAAACACTATGCCATTTTCTCTAAGGGATTTGGGCATCCAAGGATTTTTACTATCCATGGGGCAGGCGGCAGCCCTAGAACCAATTTTCTGTGGATTCTGCGGAACACCATAGCCTCATTTCTCACACACACACACACACACACACACACACACACACACACACACACGCGCGAGGAAACCAGACTTTAAAGAGTTAAGTGACCTAACAGGTTCAACCAGTTGGAGAGCTAGATCCTGCCTGGACCCGGTGTAGGGCTGGCAGCCTCCAAAGCCCTATTCTATTCTGTGTGTTACTGTCACCAGTGAGAGTCTGGGTACAGGGATCAGGCGGCTTTGCTAAGCATTTGGAGTTCAACCTATCTGGGGTAATGGACTGAAAATGGTAGCAAGTTCCTTGACACTTCTCCTATTGGGAGGTAAAGTCTATGCCATCCCCCCTAGCGTTTGGGCTGAACTTAGTGATTTGTTAACATGGTAGAAATTGCCACATCCCAGAACTTCTTCAGCTAGGTCTTGCAATTTCTGTCTGGACCGCTGGAAATCCTTACTCTTGGAGACACAAGCCACTGCTAAGATCGGCTGTGCTCAGGGGAGCAAGGGAGAGTCCACAGGTAGATGCCCTGAGCTTGCAGGGAAAGAGGTGTCCTCCTGCCTCCCAGCTGATGCTATAGATCTTGGTTCATGGGCTCCAGAGATGGGTGATCCCTGCTAGCCCTGCTTGAAATGCAAAATAAAGGATTACTGTCATGTTAAGCTACTAAGACTTCCTATGGTGCTGTGTTACTTGAACAGGTGCAGACAATGTGGGCAGGACTGAGGCTGAGCTGTTGGTAGTGACTGTGACTGCAGTCTACCCAGCTGCAGCTACCACAGATCTTCCCACAGGAGCCCCAGGAATGTATTCATCTGGTGTGTGAGTAGAACCTGGTGAGGTCTGGACTGAGTCAGCTGATCCAAGCCTGGGGGCTATTGTGCCTGGAATGGCCCCAGTCTTCATGTATCTACAGTCATCTGTCTTCCCTACCTCCAGTTTTTCCATGGTCACAGTGTGTTGTGTCCCTACCTCTACATTAGATTCCAGTTGTTTAAACAGCTTTGCTCTGCCTTGTGCTGTGTTTTGCCAAAGGGGACCATGCTAGCCTCCAACTCTTACTGGAGTACTACTACAACCTGTGTGTGTCTTTTTCTTTTCTTTTTTTTTCTTTTACTTTTTCTTTTTTCAGTACTAAGGTTTAAACTCAGGGCCTATATCTTGAGCCACTCCACCAGCCCCACCCCCCTTTTTTTTTTGAGATAGGGTCTCTCAAACTATTTGCCCAGGACTGGCTTCAAACTGAGATCCTCCTGATCTCTGCTTCCTGAGTCGCTAGGATTAAATGTGTGTGTCTTTTCCTTCCCTGACTTTGTAACTTGCCTGAGTGAGTGCTTGGTACTCATAGGCTCATGCATGAGTTGAATCCTACCCACACCCGGACTACTAAAGTCGGATTTTCTATTTGCTGGCTCCACTCTAGAGAAGCAACGCTATAGTTACTCATTCCAGCCTGGCCACCAATCCCACAGAGGCATCTTTCTTACTGTTTATTGAGGTCCCTTCTTGTCTCTTGTCTGGGCCACTGAGGTAGTACCAGACTGTGGGGCTGGACACATGGAACCAGATTTGAAAAGCATACCTCAGTGTGGGAAGAGTGTCTTAAGGGCTTCAGGCTCATTTGTCCTTAGTTTACCTCCTTGCCAAGGCTCTTTCACTATTTCCACTGTGTCAGGCAATTGGCAAACTGCTTCCCCTTTAAATCTCTGGCCCAAGCTGGACAAAAACGTCTTTCTTGGTTCTTCTTACCCCAGCTGACTAACTCTGCATTTTAAAAACATACTAAACCCCACAGGAGAACAAAAAATGACCTAATTACAGAAAATGTAAACAGCTTAATAAAAGAATGCATGTTCCCAAAATAGCAGTCTGAAACTCCATAGTATTTTCTGTCTTATCACAAAGGCTAAGCACAACTATTTAGCACCTGGCCTGGCTGATTTTCTGTTCAGTTCTATCTACTTCTCTACCCCATGACAATTACTTTCAGTGAGTTTTGGCCCAACCCCCCAAAGTTCTGATGTCAGCATCTTAGTACTTCTTGAGACTTGGTCTTCATTTCTGAACTACGTACGGGACATGTTGCCTCTGCTGCTATTTGGAACTATTATCTTAATTGCCATAGAACCATCTCACCCTACAAGTGAGACTCCACCCTCTATGTCAGGGTGTAGCTGTTGCTCAGCAGACACGCAAACTAATAACCTTGGACACCATATCTTGCAGGATCAAGCAGAACGGCAAGGTGTCACCACTCCTTCATTTGATGGAGAGGCGGATACCTGGGCAGGGAGACAATTAGAAATTTTTCTGATGATCTCTCTGATGACCAGGAAAAAAGAACAAGTACCCTTATGAGTGAATGATTGTTGATACCTGTTCAAATTCCACAATCATTCAAGACTCAGAAAGAAAAAGAACATTCTTTATAGATTCTAAGAAAGAGCAACTGTGGGGAAGCAAGAGGGCTGTTTGGGCCCTACATCAAATTTGGAATATTGACATTACACAAAAATGAAATCAATCAGGTAGTCATTGTATTCTTTTATGTGGTCAGGTGTTCATCATTTATAATATACCACAATTTTTGTAACCATCAGTTCTTACTCTTTTTGTAGGCTCATACTGAGCATGTAGTCAAAAGGGATGTTTATTCTCCTCCCCTTAAAGCTGTGCTGGCTTAGTGACCTGCCCTGACCTTACTGGGCCTGGCAGCTTCTTCCATTACCTTCTTAGGATCCAACTGCTGTGTTAGGTGCTCAGGTTAGACTACTGAATGCTAAGGCAGCCCGTGGCAGGAATACTGGAGAATGTGAGGTCATCATGGATGTCACAGTCCCAAACAAGTTCCCAGATAAATTCAGCCTTATCTCCCATAAGACAAGGTGAGAAGCCATCCCGCTGAGCTTGTCCAGATTGCAGAATAATGAGCAAATGAATGAATGTGTATTAAGCTACTAACTTTTGGGGTGGCTTGTGACTCCATGAAGGATAACAAAAATACCACATTTTGTTATTGAATAATTATTTTAGTATTCCAGGAATTTAAAACGAATGCAGGTGGTCCAAGGTCTTGCTTAGTTTGTGGTAACTCTGGCTCCAAGATGTTTCTAAAGCTATAGGCTTTCTTTCTTTCTTTTTTTTTTTTTTTTTTTTTTTTTGCGATATTAGGGCTACACCTTGAGCCACTCCACCAGCCCTTTTCTGTGATGGGTTTTTCCAAGATAGGGTCTCATGAACTATTTACCCAGGCTGGCTTTGAACCGTGATCCTTCTGATCTCTGCCTCCTGAGTAGCTAGGATTACAGGTGTGAGCCACCTGGCTAGGGGCTTTCTTATTACTATTTGAAGACAGTCTATAAAATGTGTCTTCATACCCTAGGAAGCAATCTGTTACTACTGAATTTTGGGAGCATCCTCAGCCGTGAGGATCCATAAGAAAAAAAATGTCCTTCTCCCTTTCGCCCTTGTCTATC